TTTGAGGATAATGATACCACCACAGGAATAAATGAGTTCACAGGTGTAGAACACTTAGGACCGTGCCTGGTCTGTAGTAGGTGTTACAAATGGGTTAATTAATTAATCCATTAATTACAAATGAATATCAGTGAGGACCCAGAGAGCACAGAGGGGTGTCATTTGCTCTAGGACACTCAACTAGTTGGTGGTGGAGCCACTCCACAGAAATGTGTCTTTATTTTCCAAAGCACTTTGGCATCTTTTCATTGAGGTGGGGAACTTTATTCAACAATCTTTTTTGTTTGTTTGTTTTTTTGAGACAGAGTCTCATTCTGTCACCCAGGCTGGAGTGCAGTGGCGCGATCTCCACTCACTGCAACCTTCTCCTCCCAGGCTCAGGCGATCCTCCCACATCAGCCTCCAGAGCAGCTGGGACTACACGCACGTGTCACCACGCCCAGCTAATTTTTGTAAATTTTGTAGAGACCAAGTTTTGCCGTGTTGCCTAGGCTAGTCCCAAAATAGTGGGCTCAAGCAATCCGCTTGCCTCAGCCTCCCAGAGTGACAGGATTATAGGTGACAGCCGCTGCACCTGGCCCTCGATCCTTACGTAGTCGTAAAATACCTTGTTGTACCTTTTTTTTCTCCTAATCCATTTTATTTTATTTTTTTTCTTTCAGGCCAAGAGTCTTTTTTTCCTGATAGAAAGTCGTTGGTGCACATCTGAGAGATGTCAGTCTTTTCCCTCTACGTATGAGAAAAGCCGGGCTGAGTGCAGTGCCTCAGGCCTGCAACCCAGGGACTTTGCGAGGCCGAGGCAGAAGGTACGCTTGAGCCCAGGAGCCCGAGACCAGCCTGGGCAGAATGAGATCCCGTCTCTTCAGAGCATTTAAAAATCAGCCAAGTGTGGTGGTACACGCCTGCAGTCCCAGCCACTCAGGAGGCTGAGGAGGGAGCCTTGCTGGAGCCCAGTACTTTAGGGCTGTAGTGAGCTCTGATCCCACCATTGCACTCCAGCCTGGCCAACAGAGTGAGACCATGTCTCAAAATTAAAGAAAAAAGAAAGAAAAAGAAGAGAAAAGGCCGGCAAGGCCACTGCCACACAGCCGCTGAGGGGCAGGGAGCTGGCTCCGCACAGTGCCAGACCCCCTCCTCCCCCGGCCGCGCAGCCTCTGTAGCCTTCACCTGCCCCCGCATTTCTCCTTGGCTCTAACATCCCCTCCTGGCTGCATTAACAATTTCCTGGATTCTTACAGAACACTGGAATCGCTTCCTTTGGAGTGTTCCGGGAAGCCCAGCATGCCCTGGCTTTCGCCCCAAGCGGCCGGCTGCTCTCAGGAGGTTTCCCGAAAGCCCATCTCCACCTTCATCCCGCTGGCCCAGAGGAGGCTTCCTTCCCTGGAGGCCTGAGGCAGCAGGGAGCTGGGGTCAGCCCAGGCCTCCGGCATGTGGCCAGCTGAATCATTTCCTTTCGCAATGTATTGCTCAGTTTCAGGGCTTGCCACATGGGGGTATTTCCATTTCTTTCTGCAGCTGCACATGGGGACGTGGCAGACGTGCCTTTCTCTGGACAGCAGAGGACCTCCCTGACCCCCAAACACCTAAGTCCTCATCACCCCACTTTCTTTTCTACAAATGGAGGTGGTGGCCAGGTGCGGTGGCCCACGCCCGTAATCCCAGCCCTTTGGGAGGTCAAGGTGGGCGGATCACCTGAAGTCGGGAGTTTGAGACCAGCCTGACCAACATGGAGAAACCTTGTCTCTACTAAAAATACAAAATTAGCCAGGCGTGGTGGAGCATGCCTGAAATCCCAGCTACTCGGGAGGCTGAGGCAGGAGAATCGCTGGAACGTGGGAGGCAAAAGTTGTGGTGAGCTGAGATCGCGCCATTGCACTCCAGCCTAGGCAACTTTGTCTTAAAATAAAATAAAATAAAATAAAACAAATTAAAATGGAGGTGGTAACACTTGATTTGTCTAACATTTTCTTGGTTGTGAGACAAACCAGGTAACTCAAGTGAAGGGGCTGAGTAGACTCCAAAGCAGTGACTGTCAGTTGAGGGCTGGGAGTTGATTCCGTCCCCTCGGGAACATTGGCTGTCACTCCTGGGGGATGGTGCTGCCGCTGCTGCATCTAGAGGTAGAGCCAGGGATTCTGCTAAACGTCCTGTAACACACAGGGCAGTTTCTACCGTAAGGCGTTAGCCAGCACCAAATGGCAATCATTCGGAGGTGGTAGAAACCAGCTCTAAAGAATAATTTAAAAATAGTAACATTTACCATGGCTGTGCATGGTGGCTCACACCTGTAACCCCAGCACTTTGGGGGCCAAGGTGGGTGGATCACTTGAGGCCAGGAGTTCTAGATCAGCCTGGCCAACATGGTGAAACCCTGTCTCTACTAAAAATACAAAAATTAGCCAGGTGTGGTGGTGCATGCCTGTAATCTCAGCTACTTAGGAGGCTGAGGTGGGAGGATTGCTTGAGCCCAGGAGGCGGAGGTTGCAGTGAGCCGAGATTGCACCACTGTACTCCAGCCTGGCTGACAGAGCGAGACTCTGTGCCAAAAAAAAGAAAAGAAAAGAAAAGAAAAATAGTAGCATTTACCGGGGACTCACTCTGTGCCAGATCCTTTACATGCATTGTCTCATTTAATTGCTTCAGCACCCTATGAGGCAGTATGGTTACTATTCCCATTTTACAGACGAGAAAACTGAGGCACAGAAGAGTTAACTTGCCACAGCTAGAATAGGTTGGAGCAGGAATGAATCCTGGGGGCTTCTACTGAGGAAGGAGACCCAGGCATCTGGGATCACCTCCCTTTTGACCTCCACACGGCATTTCAATAGAACAAAGGCTAGCCGACTGGCACCTCTTAAATCACCTTCCTATAAGATAGCAGGTGTGGTATGGGGGAATCTCTCCGGAAGACATGGTTTTTACTTAAACCAGATCAAACCCCCACCCCAGTCCTCCATCCGGAGACCCAAGACCCTTTCACATGTAATTCCTAAAACTGTAAACTCAAGACCCTTTCACATGTGATTCCTAAAGCTGTCAACCCAAGACCCTATCCCATGTGATTCCCAAAGCTGTCAACCCAAGACCCTATCCCATGTGATTCCCAAAGCTGTCAACCCAAGACCCTATCACATGTGATTCCCAAAGCTGTCAACCCAAGACCCTTTCACACGTGATATCTAAAGCTGTCAACCCAAGACCCTTTCACATGTGATTCCCAAAGCTGTCAACCCAAGACTCTTTCACACGTGATTTCTAAAGCTGTAAACCCAAGACCCTTTCACTTGTAATTTCTAAGGCCGTAAACCTAAGGTTCTTTCATGTGTAATATCTAGAGTGTAAGCCTATATAAAGGCAGAGCTTCTCTTTGTTAGGGGAGCTTGGGCATTTAGACAAAACATAAAGCCTCGCTCCCAGGCCATAATAATAAACACCTCTTCCTTCCCGGGTTCGGTGTTCGAGAGGTCTCTTTCTTGTGGCTGCTCCTGCTTCACTGCTTCCCAGACCCACTCTTTTTTCTTTTTTTTTGAGATAGAGTTTTGAGCTTGTCACTCAGGCTGGAGTGCAATGGTACGATCTTGGCTCAGTGCAACCTCCACCTCCCGGGTTCAAGCAATTCTCCTGCCTCAGCCTCCCGAGTAGCTGGGATTACAGGCATGCACCACCATGCCCGGCTAATTTTTGTATTATTAGTAGAGATGGGGGTTTCACCATATTGGCCAGGCTGGCCTCGAACTCCTAGCCTCAGGTGAACCACCCATCTCGGCCTCCCAAAGTGCTAGGATTACAGGTGCCTGCCACCATGCCTGGCTAATTTTTGTATTTTTAGTAGAGAAGGGTTTCATTTCACCATGTTGGCCAGGCCGGTCTCAAACTCCTGATCTCAGGTCATCCACCCGCCTCGGCCTCCTAAGACCCACTCTTAATCTATGAGCTACAGGCCAGGCGCTACAGGCTCACACCTGTAATCCCAGCACTTTGGGAGGCCAAGGTGGGCAGATCATGAGGTCAGGAGTTCGAGACCAGCCTGACCAACATGGTGACCCCTCGTTCTCTACTAAAAATACAAAAATTAGCCGAGCTTGGTGGCACGCACTTTATAATCTCAGGTACTCAGGAGGCTGAGGCAGGAAAACTGCTTGAACCCAGGAGGTGGAGGTTGAAGTGAGCTGAGATCACACCACTACACTCTAGCCTGAGCCACAGAGCCAGACTCCATCTCAAAAACAAACAAAATCTACGTGGTACAGAGCATGTTTCCAGTTTCACATCCGTGCCTGAACAAATGCTATTTTGCAAAATTGTGCACTACTCTTCCTCCACTCCAAATATGAGCACATGCTATCGAGATGAATAAATACAAGTTCTTTTAAAGTGTTAATCAGTTAATATTTCTTTTCTGACATTATGCATTTTCCTCAGTCAAGGGAATCTAGAAAATAAACCGCAATTATGTTGTGGGAGTTCATAAAAACCTTTCCTCTCTAAAACAGGGGAGCCTCAGTATCTAAAAGGCAGGAAATCTACATGACAGATCTGAACTAAATTCAAATCTAGCAACACCTTTTCTGAGTTTATCTTGTTTTCACGCAGCTCAGCAATGCTACTTGCTGAAAAGGTTAATTAAATGCCCTGAAGCCAAAAGCAAAACAAAAGTAGAGCGAAACATCTCGCCAAACATAGAAGGAGTTTGCCGCTAACATGTTCGGTACAAGTGGGGACAAATTAATGCTTTGGGTCTCTTCCATTCAGTTAGAGATCCCACTTTTAAAGGCTGTTCCAGTAGAATGATTTCCACAGAGCACTTGTCTCTATACCTCTCTCCTCCCTGTAAAAGACCACCTGTTGGGCAAGACGTTCCCCCTATCCCCACCACAATCCCTCCCAACAGAAAGTTCCCTCCGCAATACCAGAAGCCCCCCAGCCACTCCCCAGGAAGGCAGAGCAGGCCCTGGCAGCCAAGCCTGCTCTTGGCCCCTTTCCCTGAACCACACACTCACCCCTTCCTTCATGCTCTGATCCTGCTGCTCCATGCTTGCTCTGGAAGGGCAGAGGGCTGCTCACCTCCTCTTAGCCAAAGTAATGCGTGCACTGAATGGAGAGAGAAGACATTCTGGGTGCACTTTGGCCATGCCAAATAACAGCCAATAGCAGTTTTATAGCCAGACTAAGTCAAAATAACCCTTTCAGGAACCTGGTCTTCCTTTCACTTCTGCTTTTAAATGAAATGTCTGGGGTTTGGGTAAGCAAGTGGGTGCCTCCTGGGACTGCAGGCCTGGCATTGTCCTGATGGGACAGTCTGTGGTATTTCCCCATTGCTAAAGTCTCCACCAGTCAGGCTCGTGGTGAGTGGCTGGAAGGTTATTTTTGTCAGGAACGCGTGGAAAACAACAGCTGTCATTCACCCTACACGACATAAGGGAGCAACAGATTGGGCGACTGGAGGCCTCATAGAGGCTCTGCCTGCCAGGAAAGCTGCAGTCTAGTCTCTCTGGTGCAGAGTCAGTTTTGCGCAAGTCACCATGTAACCCTGTTTGGGGAGAGTTTCCTATTTTCCGGGTTTTGTTTTTTTGAGATGGAGTTTCACTCTTGTCCCAGGCTGGAGTGCAGTGGCATGATCTCCACTCACATAACCTCTGCCTCCCGAGTTCAAGCAATTCTCCTGCTTCCACCTCCTGAGTATGTGGGATTACAGGCGTGCTCCTCCACACCCAGCTAATTTTGTATTTTTAGTAGAGATGGAGTTTTGCCATGTTGGCCAGGCTGGTCTCGAACTCCTGACCTCAAGTGATCCGCTCACCTCAGCCTCCCAAAGTGCTGGAATTACAGGTGTGAGCCATCCTGCCCAGTCTCTTATTTTCCATTTTAAGAAGGTCAGAGTGACCTAGAGATGTTACTTTCTGTGTATTCATCACTACTGGGAAGGTGGTAAATACCTCGAATCCCTCTCCAGGCAGGGCAGGAAAAGTGAGTCACAGCTACTGTTCTGGGTCCGGCCATCTCAAGGCCAGGCCACTGTCAGAACCCTGTGCTTGGCACTCATTCAGATGCCACAGGGCACGCCAGGGTAAGTGGCCAAAATCCAAAGTCTCGAAAGTCCTGCAGGTTTTCATCTTTACAGGACATACTCCCTGTTTTATTTGCTGTGGCACAAATCCAGTTACTTTAGTGATTCATTTGGAATCTCATGCATCTTTAAACAAGCAGAGACTTGGAGCTCGTGTTGGGCACTGTTTCTGGCATTAGCAGCAACCCCCCAGAGTTGCTCAGGGTGGGAGACTGCAGGAAGCCTAGTCTGTGTGTGTGTTTCGGGGTGGTGGTGGGGGGCGGAACCCAATCCCTATTCACAATGGAGAACTCAGCATTCCCTTTCACCAGCGTCACTGCCTTTTTCTTCCACATACCACTGTCCTAGCACGCTGACTTGCGACGATAGCATAGAAAGACCAGAGGTTTCCAATTATTGCAAAGATCTTGAAAAATTTCCAAAGAAAATGTGCTTTAATTGAATTGCAGGGGTAGAGATGGGGGTAGGAAATTGATGGGGGAGTGAGGAGGCAGATAGATACAGGTGAGCAATCCAACAACAAAAAAAGCATCTGGCCGGCCGCGGGGGCTCAGGCCTGTAATCCCAGCACTTTGGGAGGCCGAGGATGGGGGGAATCACCTGAGGGTCAGGAGTTCGAGACCAGCCTGGCCAACATGGTGAAACCCCGTCTGCACTGAAAATTAGCCGGGCGTGGTGGCAGATGCCTGTAGTCCCAGCTACTTGGGAGGCTGAGGCAGAAGAATCGGTTGAACCCGGGAGGCGGAGGTCGCAGTGAGCCGAGATCAAGCCACGGCACTCCAGCCTGGGCCCCACCGTCCCCCAAAAAAGAATCGTCCAAAGTTTGCAGTCATCAGTCACGTCAAGTGCATGACACCCGCTTCCAGGCCCAGCTCTTGCACTTCTCCCTGCCTTCGGGCCAGCGGGTAATTTTAAAAGGAGGTCGCTGGTGAGGACGCGGACATTCCCAGCCCCCCGCCGACGGCCTGGCCTGGGGAAGCGGGGACAGTGGGCCAGGCTCTCGGACCCAGAGGGGATCATCCCGGGGGGGCTGCGGGCCGCACTACCTGGTTCCTGCCAGTCACAGGGCGTCGCAGGCACAGTCATGGCGTCACCAACGCTCGACCCAGACTTCCGCCCTGGAGCGAGCCGCGCGCTGGAGGAGGGCGCGGCGGGAGGCCGCCATGACGCGGGCTGCGGGCCGCTGGGTCAGTGCCTCTCCCGGTGGGCCGGCGGGCTCCAGGTGGGTCCTGTCCCTGCGCAGGACCCGTCCGCCGCAGCCCGAGTCCCCCTCAGCCCGGATCCCCCTCAGCCCCAGCCTGCGTTCCCCTGAGCCTCAGCCCGGATCCCCCTCAGCCTCAGCCCGGATCCCTCTCAGCCGCAGCCCGGATCCCCCTCAGCCTCAGCCCGGATCCCTCTCAGCCGCAGCCCGGATCCCCCTCAGCCTCAGCCCGGATCCCCCTCAGCCCCAGCCTGCGTTCCCCTGAGCCTCAGCCCGGATCCCCCTCAGCCTCAGCCCGGGTTCCCCTGAGCCTCAGCCCGAATCCCTCTCAGCCTCAGCCCGGATCCCCATCAGCCCCAGCCTGCGTTCCCCTGAGCCTCAGCCCGGATCCCCCTCAGCCTCAGCCCGGGTTCCCCTGAGCCTCAGCCCGGATCCCCCCCCCTCAGCCTCAGCCAGGGTCCCCTTCATCCTTTGCCAGAGTCCCCCTAAGCCTCTCCCAGGTCCTCCTTCTGGCTATGGAGCCCCAACCTTCCTGGCGGGTGGACCAGGCCTCCAGGTCCCGCCTCCGGCTGTCATTAGGCCGAGGCCTGCAGGGCGGGGTGGGAGGCTTGAGATGCTCAGCTGCGGGGCTCACAGATGGTGGCGGGGCGGGGGGGGTCCTGGCAGACCTGAGGCAAGAGGATCCCTTGAGCCCAGGAATTCGATCATGCCACTGCACTCCAGCCTAGGTGACAGAGCAAAGACCCGGTCCCCAGAAATAAATAATAAAAATTAAATTAAAGGCCGGGCGCGGTGGCTCACGCCTGTAATCCCAGCACTTTGGGAGGCCGAGGCGGGTGGATCACGAGGTCGAGAGATCGAGACCATCCCGGTCAACATGGTGAAACCCCGTCTCTTACTAAAAATAGAAAACATTAGCTGGGCATGGTGGCGCGAGCCTGTAATCCCAGCTACTCGGGAGGCTGAGGCAGGAGAATTGCCTGAACCCAGGAGGCGGAGGTTGCGGTGAGCCGAGATCGCGCCATTGCACTCCAGCCTGGGTAACAAGAGCGAAACTCTGTCTCAAAAAAAAAAAAAAAAAAAAAAAAATTAAATTAAAAATGAACGTTTCCTCTGGCTGCCCAGAGGTGAGGGGACAAGAGTCCACTGGATCTGGAGTGGGGAGAAGGAGCAGTGAAAGGTGTTCGTCATAGCCCAGGTGAAAGAACAATGTGACTTGGACCACCATGGGACTGTGGAAGGCGGAAGTAGATACACTTGAGGTATGTGAGGGATGAAAAACTGACAATCACTTGGTGATCGGATGGGGGAGAGCAAATAGAAGTGTTTCTGTTACTGTTATAATAAAACAGAAATAGACCAGGTGCGGTAGCTCATGCCTGTAAACCCAGCACTTTGGGAGGCCAGGGCAGGTGGATCACTTGAGATCAGGAGTTCAAGACCAGGCTGACCAACATAATGAAACCTCATTTCTACTTAAAAAAAAAAAAAAAAAAAAAAAAAAAAAAAAATTAGCCGGGCATGGTGGTGCATGCCTGTAATTCCAGCTACTTGGGAGGCTGAGGCAGGAGAATCACTTGAATCTAGGAGGCGGAGGTTGCAGTGAGCTGAGATCGCACCGCTATACTCCAGTCTGGGTGACAGAGCGAGACTGTCTCCAAAAACAAACAAACAAAAAAGGTAAAACAGAAATGAAAGTTACCCTTCTGAATCAGAATGAAAAGCAAAGGTTTTATATAAGAAAAATTTAACCAGGGCAAAATCCTGGGTTAGCACCACACCGCAAAGCCTGCTGGCACATCTCCAGACCGTTCTGCGACCAGACAATGATACCAGGACTTCGGTCACTACTTGTCTCACCTCTGCTAGGAATATTCTAGAATTTTAAAGTTTTGCCATGGGCCTCTATTGTACAGACTGCTAATGGCTTCTCCCCATCCACAAACCCATTTCAGCACCTCTTCTGTAGTAATAGAATTGGGGGCAAGGTCTGTGGCTGCCCCAAATCAAGACATTTCCCCATTGCCCTTGAAGGCAGTACAGACATGAAGTTCCACCTAATGCAACATATACAAGATGCCACATGGCAGCTTCCGGAAACTTCACTCTCTTCTTTGCCTCTTTCTCCATCCTGCTTCCTCGAATGTAGATGCCGCTAGCTTGGGGCTTGAAATCGAGGGCCCACAGGACAGGGCATCAAGCTAGGAGGAGCTGGGCCCCTTATCCTGTGGAGAACCATCCCAGCTCTCCACCACTAACTTGACTTAGTAGGAAATAAAAATATTTCTCCATTTTGTTTTTCGTCACTTGCAGCTGAAACTGATTCTCACTGGTAAAACTATTAAATGCATGCCCGAAAATCTGTTAGGACAGAAAACAGGAAGATATTCTACCAAAGCCCCTGGTGGTTCAGATGGCAGAGTCTGTTGTGTCTCACTCAGTGCATGCTTCTGCGCCATGAGTTAGTTAATTCATTTGCAGATGATAAGAGAATGCTGGCCGGGTGCGGTAGCTCACACTTGTAATCCCAGCACTTTGGGAGGCCAAGGCAGGCGGGTCACCTGAGGTCAGGGGTTTGAGACCAGACTGGTCAACATGATGAAACCCTGTCTCTTCTAAAAATACAAAACTTAGCTGAGTGTGATGGGAGGAGCCTGTAATCCCAGCTACTCGGGAGGCTGAGGCGGGAGAATTGCTTGAACCCAGGTGGTGGAGGTTTCAGTGAGCTGAGATCCAGCCACTGCACTCCAGCCTGGGCAATAGTGCAAGACTCCGTCTCGAAAAATAAAAAAAAATAAAAGAATGCTGTAGGCCGGGCGCGGTGGCTCAAGCCTGTAATCCCAGCACTTTGGGAAGCCGAGGCGGGTGGATCACGAGGTCGAGAGATCGAGACCATCCTGGTCAACATGGTGAAACCCCGTCTCTACTAAAAAAAAAAAATAAAATAAAACTAGCTGGGCCTGGTGGTGCGTGCCTGTAATCCCAGCTACTTAGGAGGCTGAGGCAGGAGAATTGCCTGATCCCAGGAGGCGGAGGTTGTGGTGAGCCAAGATCGCGCCAT